CACTCAGATCCTGCATGGACCAGCTGACAGGAATATTTGCAGACATCTTCAACCTCTCTTCACTATGATTTGAAGTCCCCACCTGCTTCAAGAAGACCACCATCATTCTGGCGCCAAAGAAAAATCATGCAGTGTGCCTCAATAACTACCACCCTGTGTCTCTGACTTCCTTAAATATGAAGTGCTTCAAGAGGTTGGTCGTGACTCACATCAACTCCAGCCTCCCAGGTTGCCTTGATCACTTGCAATTCATCTACCGGTGCAACAGGTCCACGGCAGAAGCTTTCTCCCTGGCCCTACACTCAGCCCTGGAACATCTGGACAACAAGGATATGTACGTCAGGCTCCTTCTCATTGACTACAGCCCTGCCTTCAATACCATAATTCTAAACAAACTCATCTCCAAACTCGAGGACCTAAGTCTCTGCTGCCCCCTCTGTAACTAGATTTTCCACTTCCTGACCAACAGACCAGGGTCACTAAGGATAGGCAATAACACCACCTCCACGATAATCCTCAACACTGGTTCCCCTCGAGGTTACGTACTCAGCCCCCTGCTATACTCCTTATACAAACATGACTGTGTGGCCAAATTTCACACCAGCTCCATTTACAAGTTTGCTGACAACACCACCGTTATTGGTTGAATCTCAAACAACGATGAGACAGAGTACAGGAAGGAGATAGAGTGTTTAACGGCATGGTGTAAAAACAACAATCTCTCCAACAATATAAGCAAAATAAAGGAGCTGGTCATTGACTTCAGGAAGCGGAGTGGAGGACACGCCCCTGTCTGCCCCGATGGTGCTGATGATGATCGGCAGTATCAAGTTCCTGGGAGTGATGATCACCAACTATCTGTCCTGGTCCACCCACGGTGACACCACAGTCAAGAAAGCACAACAATGCCTGTACTTCCTCAGGAGGCTAAGGGAATTCAGCATGTCCATAAAGACTCTTACAAATTTTTATAGGTGCACCATAGAAAGCATCCTATCTGGATGCACCACAGCATGATATGGCAACTACTCTTCCCAAGACTGAAAGAAAGTACAGAGAGTTGTGAACACCGCCCAGTCAATCATGCAAACCAGCCTTCCATTCATTGACTTCATCTTTACTTCCCACTGCCTCAGGAAAGCAACCAACATAATCAAAGACCCTTCCCAGCCCAGATACACTCTCTTCCACCCTCTTCTGTTGGGCAGAAGATTTAAAAGTTTGTGTACATGTATGAACAAATTTAACAACAGCTTCCTCCCTGCTCTTAGCAAACTTTTAAATGGACTTCTTAGATGATCTCTCTGCACCTTCTCGGCAGCTGTAACACTTCATCCTGCACTCTGTTCTGTTACACTGATTCACTTGAATAGTACGATCTGCATGTAAAACATGTAAGACAACACTTTTCAATGTACTTCGGTACACCTGACAATAATAAACCAAATCAAATTAAATCAAATCCATCTAAATGGTACATTAAGAGAGTTAAGTGATGATGGCAGTGTGCTATCATGCCATGTGATACTATTGGATAGAGGTATCGGCTCCCTCTTGAATAGCTGCTGTTATACTGTATAATCTATCAGGAAAGTCAGTTAGCCCACCAGCACGTGCCCAGGCTGTACCAATGTCTGTGATAGAGTTGTAATGTATTTCATTGCTCTGTAAGGACATTTTCTGATACTTGTTCTCAGTAAAATCCCAGTCTCAATGCTTATGGTACCAAAGTTAACAAAATCACCCATGAGAACATGTTTATATACTCTTCTTATTCTTACATAATTATATGATTTTATGTGATCATATATGAAAAAATATAAAAACATTTCAGAAGTCAGAAAAGTAGAATTGAAGCATAAAAATTTCACTGCAGTACAGTCTGAGGAGCTTGAACATTTAAACTTGAGTGTGCTATTGGTATCACTACTGGTAAAAGGGTGTTACTAAAGCGTGACAGGTAGCTTTCATGATAAATGTATATACAGGAATTCTTTATGGAAAAAGTTGACAGGAAGTGTAGAATGATAAAAGATGTTTCATTTATGACTAATCGCTTTCCTGTAATGTTAAACAGTACAAGACAGAGAATATGGGCACCCTATTACCTGCCTCTGCCATCCTGGTGTTGCAGTCTCTCCTCTTCTCGTTCCAGTTTCTTTCTCTTCTAACACTCACTTTATTTTTCTAATCCTCTGGGTTGTCCTGAAGTTCAGAAAGTAAACATTAATACTCTAGAAAATGTTTCAGGAGATTTTCACTAATCTATCCATTGTACTCCATGAAATGTCAGTTCCACTGAATGCAGACAGGACTGAAATTAGAGGTTACTGTACTCAGAGTTGAGATTTTTTCATTTATTTTTCTTATCACTGTAAAACCTAACTGTACTTATCATTCACATTGAATGTTGGACACCTTTCCATCTAACATGCCCTTGTATACACGCCCCACACCCTAACATACAGGATTCTGCATGAAATTATTGTTATTATTTGCTGTGAGGAGCTATTTTAAGGTTTGGAATTTTTCTGTCCTTCCATCTATCTTTGTGTTATCTGCAAACCTAGCAACAATGCCCTCATTTTCTTCATCCAGATTATTAATGCATAATGTTAATAGTTGTATTCTCAACATGGTCCCCTGCAGAACTCCACTAATCACCGGCTGCATATTTGTAAAAGACTCCTTTATCCCCACTCTCTACCTTCTGCCAGTCAGCCAATCCTCTGTCATACCAGTACCTTTCCCCTAACACCATGGGCTCTTATCTTATTTAGCAGCCTCCTGGAAATCAAAGGCCTTCTGGAAATCCAAATAGATCATGTCCCCTGGTTCTCCTTTGTCTATCTTGCTCATTACCTCCTCAAAGAATTCAAACAGATTTGTCGGGGATGATCTTCCTTTGACAAAGCCATGCTGTCTCAGACCTATATTACCATTCACTTCCGAATGCTCTGCAATCTCAGCCTTAATAATGGACTCTACATAAGACAAAACTCTATAGAAGATTCTACAGGAGACAGAAAATCCTTCACCTTCCATTTCCTTTCCACACTCCTTTCCTGTATATTTCACTCAAATTGAATTTAACTGTTGCTTCGCAGGCAAGGGATTAGAAAATGTTTAACCTATTGTATTCATTAGACTTGATGGACCTGCTAGACTTGTTCTCCCATCAATTCTGTACGTTTGATTTTAAGGTACAACCATTCTGTTAAAAAATTCAACTAGAACAAAAGAAGAAAATGTCTGCCTGTCTCCAATTTTGTGCTTTTCTCTTTCTCAGTCTTTTATTTTATTTGTGCTCGAAACAGAAAAAAATTTCACCTGATAAGTTATAGCAATTATATGCTAGTAATAAAGATATCTGCCCACTCAAGTGTCTGAAACATGCTACTACAGGCCATTAGTTCTTTAACACACATCCCCAAAGGCAGCAGCCCTCATTTAAGGGGCTATGAAACGAAAACTAATGTACAAGCAAAATTAGGAAAAATAAAAAGACCAAACAGCAAAACTCACAATCGAAAGGAACAAACATCAAGAAATAAGAGAACAGACCTTCAACGAGAAATGGAGAGCAAATATTTAAATATTGATCAGGCAGCAAATGATAGCTTCACTGAATTCCAATAATTTAAGCATCATGTGCAGCTATTTTTAAAATTCACTTGTGGGATGTAGGTGTCGCTGGCTGGCCAGCATATATTGCCTATCCCTAGTTGCCCTTGAGAAGATGGTGGTGAGCTGCCTTCTTGAACCACTGCAGTCCATTTGCTGCAGATTCACCCACAGTGCCCTTAGGAAGGGAATTCCAGGATTTTGCCCAAGCGACAGTACAGGAACGACAATATATTTCCAAGTCACGATGATGAATGGCTTGGAGGGAAACGTGCAGCTGGTGGTGTTCCCATGTATCTGCTGCCCGTGTCCTTCTGGATGGAAGTGGTTGTGGGTTTAGAAGGTGATGTCTAAGGGTCTATGGTGAATTTCTGCAGTGCACCTTGCAGATAGTACACACTGCTGCTATTCAGCATCGATGGTGGAGAGGGTGAATGCTTATGGATGTGGTGTCAGTCAAGTGGCCTGCTTTGTCCTGGATGGCGTCAAGCTCCTTGGGTGTTGTTGAAACTGCACTGATCTAGGCATGTGGGCAATATTCCATCATACCCCTGACTTGTACCTTGTAGATGATGGATAGGTTTTAGGGAGTCAGGAAGTCAGTTACTCACTGCAGTATTCCGAGTCTCTGACCTACACTTGTCACTGCGTTTATATGGCAAGTCCAGTTTAGTTTTCAGTCAATGGTAATGTCTAGGATGTTGATGGTGGGAAATTCGGTGATGTAACACCACTGACTATCAAGGGGCAATGGCCATTGCTGGCATTTTGTGATGTGAGAATGTTACTTGCCACTTGTCAGACCGAGCCTGGCTATTATTCAGATCTTGTTGCATTTGAGCATGGACTGCTTCGGTGTCACGAATGGTGCTGAACATTGTGCAATCATTGGTGAACATCCACAGTTTACTACAGAAGGTGGTGGAGACAAAGTCACTGAAAAAATTAAGAAAAAAATAGGTTTTTACAAGATAAAGTTGGTAAAGAGGTAAGGAGAGAGTAAAGTACGGTGTTGGGATAGAAGATCAGCCATGATCATATTGAGGGGCAGAGCAAGCTCTGTGAGCTGAATGATCTATTCCTGTTTTCTGTGTTTCTATGTTAACAGAAGTTTTCGAGTTTTTTCTTCAACATCTGTATTTGAGGCATTTGTCCCCTGTCCTGGGTTGAAGGCTGGTTGGGATAACCTCTGGCCACCCCTACGCCATTAGCACAGTGTACCTGTGCCAAAGTGTCCCTAAAAGCCAATCACCTTGACAAAAACCCTACTGTAATCCCACACCTACATGATCACAAAATAGCACTATGATGTGTGCAGTTTGTTTGACCAGATCAATAGCACTTAAAATTGACAGAAACATGTGTTCTAATTCCAGGGAAATGCAAGATGCTGAAGAAAGAGTTGAGGATCCCCTCATTGGTGACTTCAGAACAGGATCAAACTAGAAGCACTCCCAACCAGGTAATATAATCATAAATAACAGTACAAACATTAAATGTCTGATGTTTTTGTCAAAAAAAATCTGAAATTCTCTGATTTTAAGTGATATTTTCTGCATGTCTGGAAAGCACTGGTAGGAATGCATCAGAGAGCCATCACAATGCCAATCTCCCCTATTTTGTCCCCAACCCCCACTTTTATCATCCTGAAGCCAGAAACATTCTGCACTGTATGTCAGGTTGTCCTTTGTTTAAATGACATAATATTCTAGATGCAGTGCGCATATTAACTGCATCAGCACTTATGATCAGTTGCATTTTTGCAAATCCTGTAAGCAGAATATTGCTGGAGGAGGCTGCTTTTTCGATTTGTATGGGAGCAGAGTGACGACTGCTGGTCATATCACTTGGATGTTTGGTGTACTGAGATGACTCACTGCCATCATGAGAGGAGGGGAGTAAGCTAGAAACAAAAAAAAACCTGTTCTGTATTAATTTTACTGATTTCAGGGAAAGCTTTAGGGCAGCTATATTTGATCCAAATGCACTAAGTTAGGAAACGTAGAATTAGTCAAGGTTCCTGCTCTTCATTACTATCCAGTGAATTCTGCTAGAGTTGTGCATGTGAATGCCAGGCAAGCACAGGGTTAAGCTCACTGTGACCCTCCCTGTGTTCAAATAGGTTATAGAGGCCCATTGAAGCTTGTGCACAATAGCAGGATGGAACTATTACAAATGACACCAAATCCCAGCGGGGAGGCAAAGTCTTCAGAGGCGAAAGGGAGGAAACATGATTTCTAAGACTAGTTGAACATCAGGAAAAACTAAGAATATTAATAATAAAACATTGGGTTTGCTTTGGTCTTTAAAATGGAATAATGATCTGGTAAAGAACACTGCTTCTTTTAAAATGTAATAAGCAGAAGTATATAAATTCACATATCATAATGTCATATCACAGCTAAAGGTCATAATCTTGACCTAGACTGGCCAGTAGATGGCCATATCAGCTTCTGAGTGACTTTCAAGGCCCATAGAAATACTTAAGGAAAGGCCAATATATGCTCCCTGTTAATGGTCAATAGCAATTATACAAAGATTTTTTTTCAAATGCTTCATAAACAACGCTACAAACTTTCTATCAATGGACATCTCAGATAACAGCCAGCTGTGATTGGGATTCTAGTTCTGAGGAAGGGTCACCGAACCCAAAACGTTAACTCTGTTTTTCCCTTCACAGATGCTGCCAGACAGAAAAGCTAACTTTGTTTTTGTTATGATTGGGACTCATCATCCATCAGAGTTGTAGAAAGAAGAGCTTGCAGTGTTTGTATATCACGTTTAATGCCCACCAAATCTCTCAAAGTGCTTTTCAGCTAATGAATTAATTTTGCAGAGCTGTCACCGTTGTAATGCAAGAAATGCAACAGTCAATTTGTATACAGCAAGCTCCCACAAACAGTAAAATGACAATGACCAGACCCCTCATGATTTTGAAAACGTCTATGAAGGGTTCTTTCAGCCTTCTTTTCTGCAGGACAACAGTCCTAACTTGACCAATCAATGTTCATAACTGCAGATCTTCATCCCAGGAACCATTCTCACAAATCGTTTCCGCACCATCTCCAATAACTTCACATCTTTCCTAAAGTGTGACATCCAGAACTGAACTGAATCTTACAGATGAAGCCATATCATTATTTTATACAAGAAGGGCATAACCTCCTTGATCTTGTACTCCATGTCTCTATTAATGAGGGACAAGGATGCTGTATCCTTCATTAATTGATTTCTCAACCTCTCCTGCCACGATCAACAGCTCATGCACATATAGCACATGTCCCTCTGGTCTTACATCCCTTTAGGGATGTACCCTTTATTTCCCACCAAAATGAATCACATTAAATTTCTCCACATTTAACTTCATCTGTCATCTGTCCATCCATTCCACCAATCTCTTTATGTCCTTTTGTACATATCCTCATCATATTCCACAGCACGTTCATATCATCCACAAACTTTGAAATTGTGCCCCAGGGAGCTCTGCTCCTAACATTCCTCCAATCCAAACAAAAAGACTCCATAACCACTATATTTTGTTTCCCGTCTCTCAGAACTAAAGTGCTGAAAGGGAGAGTTAAGGGATACTATTTCATTTACATCTCACACTACTCAAGCAGAAGTAGACTTACCAGTCATTGAGTATTGAAGTAGAATTTTTTTTTATATGACATGCTTGGAAATCAGATTTTGTGTGGCAACTCATTAGTTTACCCCACACTGCAACTGCATTCTAGGATTTCCTGTTTTGGGCTTAGCAATGACAGAAATCATAAACCAAGACAGAGTTGCTTGAGCTCCTTTAACACATTGCCCTTTTGATAAGATGTGAGATGAGGGTAATCGAAAGATCAGTGAAATTTACCAATACATAGGATTGAGAAGGAAAAGAAATTCTGAGTTCAACTGAATTTAAAAGAGTATTTTCATCAGGTTAAAACTCCTTGCAAACCACATTTCCTGTTTCATAAATGCATGTTTGGAATACCAATCTTGATTTACACCACACATCCTATGTCGGCCTTGATAGATTTTGCGCTTTTATTAATATTACAAACAGAAGCCAGAAGTAAAAATGCATTTAAAAACTCAATGCTGTGTATGCTGCCTGAAGTGCTAACAGACCTGCAGTCAACAAATCTACATCATTTTCAAACAGATAACGGATAGCTACAGAAACCGAGGAAATAGATTTTGACTTTCTGTGATCATGTAAAACAGGGCACGTAGGCAGCCAATTTGACATCTCTCCTGACAAACCTCCGTAAGCGAACACTCATTTTACCATCTCACAAAATCAAAATTATTGCCGTCCAGTTTGAAAGTAGGTCATGAACAAATGCTAATCAATCTTTAGAGATGCCTTTGCATTGTAATAATGATTTGATGGATATGCTATTGCATTGGACACCTCGCACTGCTTATTTACATTTTTATCCACCATAGATCTCTATCAGATACAAGACTGAAACGGAGCTGGAAAATCTGGCAGCAGCTTACAAGAGCCATGAAAAGTAGGTCTCTGCTGCTGCTGCTGGGATAAAGTGAAGAAAGCATTTATACTTCTAACATTAGTGTCTGGAGATCAGCATTTAGCCACTAATGGCAGTTTCATTACATTAATAGTTGACTCCACGCTGGAGGTTTTGCTCCTACAATGTCAAATCACATTTGAAGGCATTTCCTTTCAAAATAAAGCATAATTGATCTTAATAGAGGTTTATAAAATATTTTTCAATGGACAAACAATTTTAATACACTTATATTTTTATTTGATCTCTTAGGCCACTGGAGATTCACAGAAAGCCAGGAACTCAGCATGTAGAATGCATTGCCCAGGATAAAAGATTTCCATATAATAAAGTCAATCACTTCTGATAGAAAGATTTGTGTCACATTTATTTCAGCTGAATTAAAATAATATTTTATTGAAAACTCTTTAGTTTCAGCAACTTCTTGCCCTTGGAATAAATTGCAAAGGAAGATAAGGTTTACTTTTATTCTTTCACAGGTTGTGGGGGTCACTGGTCACTCTTTCCCATTCCTAGTTGCACTAGAAAATGTAGCACTGAGATGCCTCTTGAACCACCAAAGTCCATGGAGCATAGGTAGGTCCGCAGTGCTGTTAGAAATTCCAGGTTTTGGCTTTACGCAGTGAAGGAATAACAATATTTTTCCAAGTTGACATGATATGAGACTTTTGACGGTTAGTGTTCACACGCATCTGCTGCCCTTGTCCTTCTGCATGGTGGACAGCACAGATTTGGGAGGCAGTATTGATGGATTCACTGCATTGAGTCTTTTTATGTTTTAGATTTATGTCACTGTGTCAATGGAAGAGGGAATGAATGCTTAAGATAGTGGATGGGTGCCAGTGTATTGTCCTGGATGTTGTTGTACTTCTTGAGTGTTGATGGAAATATTGTCATCCATGCAAATGGAGTGTATTCCTTCATGTTCCTGATTCATACTTTGTAGATGCTGGACAGGCCTTGGGGGACGGAAAATGAGTTAGTCACTGCAGAATGCATTGCATGCTAAGCAGTCACCATAGGGTTAGATTTTTTTGATTATTTGACATATACATTTCATAAAATAATCACCATTCTGTGAAATGTAATGTGCGGCTGTGTTGTGGTCCTGTGGGTCTGAGGAATGTTTTCCCATCTTTCAGTGGTCTAACAGCTATTCCACTCACCATACTATTAATGAGAAGTTACTGATACCTGCTGCCTGCCCTGTAAGACCTGAAGCCCAAAGTTTCGAGATGTATGTCTATACTGACAGTAGGGCCAAGTTATTTCAAAATTATGGAAGATTTAAGTAGATTGAACCCCCTATATTAAAATCCTTGGTATCCCAATCCAGACAAACCTACATTTCTCTTAGATATTGATGATAATTGATATATATTTAATGATTAATATATCAAGGAACTTGTGAATGTGGTTTTATTGAAAAGAAACCATTTTTGAAAATTTTATAAGAGACCATTCTGGATGGATAAAGGGCTACCTGTAGACGTGCTTTAGGATTTCTGAAAGGCATTCAGTAAGGTGCTACATATAGGTTACTGCACAAGATAAGAGCTCATGGCTTGAAGATTGGCTATCAAACAGGAATGAGAGAGTTGGGATAAATTGACCACTTTCAGGTTGCTATAGTGTAACCAGTGGAGTGATACAGAGATCACTGCAACAAGAATTTGGATGGAGTGCCGACCAGAAATGTTGCCAGATTTGCTGGTTATAGGTAAGACAGGTTAGAAAGCAAATTGAGCAGAAGATACAAAGTGTCTGCAAAAATTGGTGAAATGAGGGACCTAGAACGTCCATATGGTGCATAATGTGGGAAAACGTGAGATTGTTCACTTTGTCTGGAAAAACAGTAATGGAAAATATTGTTTACATGAAGCAAAATTATAGCATGCTGCAGTGTAGAGGGATCTGGATATCCCTTGTATATGAAAAGGTCTCTGTTATTGATAATTGTCACACAGCCATAGACCAATCAGGTTTTCTAATCTACATCGGTACACACCCTCGGCTGCAGATTGTCTGCAATGTGAATTTCAAATACTGTCTTGTTCAGTTGTTTCCAATGCCTGCCTTAGGTATCAGGTTAAGAGATAACAAGGTGTAGAGCTAGATGAACATAGCAGGCCAAGCAGCATCATAGGAGCAGGAAGGCTGACGTTTCAGGCCTAGACCCTTACTTGCTTTCAAAACTGCAGCCAGTCATTCAAACATTGGTTTTGAAACAATTCTTTTTTTTCGTTTCAGTCCCCAGTTTTCAAAAACACAAAAATAAAAAGATGCGGTTCTTACATGTTTGATTCTCAAATTTGGGTGATGCTTTAACACAAGTGGGAACTACCCTAAAAGCATGACAATCACTCTGAATTCAGTAACAGTTCATATTAATAAAAGCTATAGAAGGGGCAATCCTGTATATGCTAAAAGCAGGCAATCCTCTATATATCAATTCTTGTTGATAGAACAATCCCTGGAGTATTTCAATTGTTATTCACAGGTGTTATGAAACTCCATACAGAGAAAAGAATCCAATTTGTAGTGTCATGGGACAATTTGCATCATTGTCACCTGTTTTATCATTGATGATTATGCAAGGATTTTTGGCACCATCTGTATATTCGCTATGATAATATTCTAGTGAGCTAATTTCTAAAGTTAGGTCAGTGCTTTCAGATTAAAATGCCTGACAAAGTTATGCTTCCAGCAGCCAGCAGAACACTGTTTTGAGGTTTATGCTTATCCAAAAGTAGCTGTATGAAAATTATCAAAAAATGCAAGAAAAGACAGATTTTTCACTTGTTAAAAGTTGTGTATGAATTATGTATGGCAAATAGAAATTGAAACAGTATGAGTCAGCTACATGACTATGATATTAGGTATATTGAAAGGGGAAATCTCAGGCTTGCCACATAAACTATGACTCAGGTGCGGTCAGGAGTACAAGAACTATAAAGTTAGGCAGCTATCTGATCTGTACCACTAACGGCAACAGAACTCACCATTACACTTAACTCTATTTTTGCTGGGTTCTTCAACTGACACTTGGGATATCTCAGGAGTTGGATACTTTCATGTTTACTTTACCAACAGCTGATGCCACCTTTCCATAAATAGCAATGAAAACAAACATTTAATTTAGTCCAAAACTGCCATGCCAGGACACTGCAAGCTGGCTGCACAATTTTGCCATTGTGCACAATGAATGTCAACATGCATGCCTGCCATTGGGTTAATACCAGTGGCCGTGGGATAAAGCCCTAATTTAATCATCAATTGTCCACTAAAGACTCTGAATTGAGGGACCATAGACATTTCCAAACCTGATTTAATTCGAACAGAGCCAGGAATGCCAGAGTTGAAATATGCCACCATTCCACCTAATTAAATGCTTTTCCCATCTCCAAGCATGCCATGGGAGAGACCATAAAATTCCACAAAATTAGTTGATTTCTCTTTCCACTACAAGCCAACTGACTCCCACAGTTACCTTGACTATACATCCTCACACCCTGCTCCTTGTAAAGACCCTGTTCCTAGTTTCTCCATCTCAGACACATCTACTCTAATGATGCTAACTTTGACAAGGGCCTCCGAAATGTCCGTCTTCTTCCTCAAGCGAGGATTCCCCAGCACTGTAGTTTACAGGGCCCTCAGCCGTGTCCGACCCATCTCCTGCACTTCACCCTTCACCTCCCCTTCCCTCCCACAACAGCGATAGGGTCCCTCTTGTCCTCAACTACCATCCCAGCAGCATCCACATCCAGAGGATCATTAGCCACTATTTCTGCCATCTCCAGCCCGATGCCTCCCAGACACATAGTCCCCAACCCTCCCTTTGTCAGCTTTCTGCAAGGACTGTTCACTCTGGGACACCCTGGTCCACTAGCCCGTCAGCCCCAACACCACCCCCCAAAGCCCCATGGCACCTTCCTCTGCAATCGCAGAAGGTGCAACACCTACCTGTTTATTTCCTCTCTCCTCAGTATCCAAGGCCCAAACACACCTTCCAGGTGAAACAGCACTTTATCTGCACTTCACCCAATCTAGTTTACTCCATTCGCTGCTTACAATGTGGTCTCCTTTACATTGGGGAAACAAAGCATAGACTGGGTGACCGCTTCACAGAACATCTACGTTCTGTCCACAAAGAAGATCCTGAGCTTCCAGTTGCCTGCCATTTCAACACACCATCTAGTTCCCTGGCCAGCACCTTTGTTTCAGGCTTATTGCAGTGCTCCAGCAAAACTCAGCACAAGCTGGAAGAACAGCACCTCATTTTCCACTTAGGAACTCTACAGCATTCTGGACTCAATATTGAGTTTATTAATTTTAAGGCTTGAGGCACCTTCTCCCACGTCCTTACCCCAACCCCTACACAACAGGCCTTGTTATCACATGAGCTGCTGTTACACACAACACATTGTTAGCCACTAATTGTCCCCATTAATAGCTATTCATTCTCCTAGGCTGATCATTATCCACTCCTTTGTCTGTCCAACTGTTCTTCTCTCTCTTTTGGGCTATCTCCACCTATTGTTTACTCCTTATTCCCTCCCCAGCCTGCCTTCTGCATAAAAAAGTGCTTTTTCCTGGCTATCATGTGTTCTGAGAAGGGACACTGGACCCAAAATGCAAACTCTGATTTCTCTCCACAGACCTGCTGAGCTTTTCCAGCAGTTTATGTTTTTGTTTCTGATTTCCAGCATTCACAGTTCTTCCATTTATCAGGAATTATTCTGAACTTCGATTCTGGACAAGGTTCACTGGACTTGAAACATTAACTCTGCTTTCACTCCACACATGCTGGAGTTTCTATGTTCTGACCACAAAGAAGATCCTAAGCTTCCAGTAGCCTGCCATTTTTTTGAGTTTCTCCAGAAATTTCTGTTTTTGTTTGACACAATCACAGAATAAGAGGACACTCATTTAACACTGAGATGTAAAGAAATTTCTTCTCTCAGAAGGTAATATATTCTGTACAGCAGAGTTGTGGAGGTAAGGCCACTGAAAGCATTTCAAAGTTAGTTAGATAAACTTTTTGAAATATCATGGAGTTGGGAGCTATGAGGAACTGGTACAAAAGAGTTGAGGCCTGGGGCAGATCAGCAGTGAACTGTTGAATGGAAAGGCAGGTTTGAGGGTTGAATGATCTACTCTGATTTTTTTTTTTGATCAAAATAAAGGAGAAATAGATAGGCTGCAGACTTGGGAGCACCATCTAAGTTCCTAACTGACTTTTGGAAGGTGGGGAGTTGAGGGAGTGAAATGGTTTGCCAAAGTTGAATTTAGGGATACGTGTGAAAATACAAATGTTGTTGTAACAGACACATTAGCAGAAGGTCC